GCAATGCCTTGTTTACTCCCAGCCAACACCTGAATGAAGGAACGGGGAGGTTTTGAAAAGCTATTGCAATGACCTGGAGATAAATGTCCTCCAAATAGTTACTGCTGATGGCAAAACCTAATCCCCCCTCGGTGTTTGGAGGAGCAATGTATAGTTGTTTATTTTTTTTTTAACATAACATTTCGAATTTCTGATTTATCAGAAATGTCTAGTTGCACCAAAACCAGAGTGCTGGAAAATAAATCAACTGTCTCTGCTAATAAGAAGAACTTCTCCTCTTCTCCATAAGAATCCTGCCATTTCATTCATAAATAAAATAAGCCTCTAACTCAGTTGTTGGCAGGCTCTCCCTTTTATCTTTCACTCACTTGAGAAGGACTAGCAACATCATGCTTTTGGAAAGCCAAGTGCAGTAATCATAGAATCGGATTTCATGTATTTTTAAAAGCATTTGCAGCAGCAGAGATCCAATCACTTTTAAAAGAAATACAAACACACAGAAATTTGGAAGAAGCAACTCAGAGCTCCTGACTGTCTTCATTTCTCCAACACCAGATGAATGTGCTGGGAAGGGACTCTTTTCTAAAGGACATCTCAAAAAGTTAGCAACATTACACTACAAGCACCGCAGAGCCAAAATACTTATTATCTCAAATAAGCCTGGATGACATTTGAGATGTCTCAACATTTATTGGCCTGCCAGCAGAGTGTGGGATCAACCACCTGCTTTTCTCTCATTCCTTTTTTTTTCCCTCCTGCTTGCTCAAAGTCCGTGTTCATAAAATATTTAGGGGAAGCTCTTCAGAGGATGATATTGCCTACACTATACCCCCAGTGCAGGTTTACTGTGCTACTGAGACAGATACTCTGCCACTGGAGAAATCAAAATTGGTGATGGAGTTGAATTACTGCACCAGGAGCACTGTCAGACTGACAGTCTGGGCTTGATCCCACCCGGGACATTGGGCTGAGCGGCAGCGGAGAGCACGAAGTAACACAGGGAACAGAGCTGGTCCCTTATGCAAGGTTATAAGGAGAAATGCTACTTTTCAGAATGGAAAACAAAAATATGAATGTTCTGCCTGTTTCTGAGACCCTGCTGGGGACAGCTGACCCTTTCTTACCTCTTGTAATTTTCTTCCCAGTGGAAAAAAACCCAAAACAACTAAATGAAATGTGGAGTTCAGATGTGCTGCTAAACGAAGCCATCAGTTGGGCAGCATCTCCTGTAGTACCACCCATTTCTGCAGCAGCCTGACACAAATTAAGTCAGCTACCATGGTCCCTTCCTACCCCTGAACTTTGTCACAACCTGTTCATCTCATACGTTCACAGCCTTCCCTATTAATCCACATATTTTGTGCTCCCACTGCCATATGATCTTTCCCTCCTAATTTCATTAAATCAGCTACAGATTTCCTAAGCTGCCCTGATGTTTTCCTGCATTACAGCAAGACTCTGCTTTTAACCTTCTCATCGAAGTCTGGCTGTCTGAATGTACTTTTGAACCTCTGATGCCCTCTAAATCCCTATCATTTTCCTTCTTAGTTCAAGGGGTAGGTGTTCCTTTGTTCCACCTTTGGCATTTCTCACCCTTAGGCATCCAGGCTTACACCAGGCTGTTGCTAAACTGTCCTCCTTTAATAATTTTTATGAAGTGCAGTCCAATTATCTTTATCTTCCTTGGGGATCCATTCAATTAAGCGCAGTCATAATGAGTGAATGGACACAAAGCTTTGTAACCATATTTACACCCAGATTAATGGGAACCAGGTAAGATAACTTTAAAGCCATCAATATTTCAATACTTTGGCTTTTGATTGTGCTATCTTCAGTGTCAGACACATTTAGGAGAGACCAGCACAATTTGAGAGGCTGAGTTTTTAATTTCCTCCTTGGTTTGTGGAAATGACGGTTTAGAAACAGCAGCAAAAATACATGACTATCTTAAAATAGTTTTCTTGCAGGTTAAACAAAACACTTCCTGTGACACAAAACAAGCTGGAACACTGTATCCAGTTTGTTCTTTCATGGATTGAAGGTAATGGAAACCAGCAAAGAACGAGTATTTAAGTGGAGATGCTGAGAACATCAGGAAATCTCATTTAATGAGCATGCAACAGAAATGCTGATCTAGAAATAGCAGTTCTGAAGTGACTTTTCTCCCTTCTGAAAGAGAAATGCTGGAACATGGACCTGTCTCTCAGATATGGAATAGCTCTGGCAGTTATTTTCACACCTGCTTTGCATTGCAGAAACAAGGGAGAAGGGTCCAATGGAAACTGGAAACCTGGTTCTGTATCACCACAGCTTAACGTAATCGTGTCTCAGGCACTGACAAATGTGTCAATAAGCTTTTGGAGAAATAACTGGTATCCAGGGAATTTATCTTGGTTGTAGTAGTTTCAGCTGAATAGGTCAGATTTGTTAACATTTTAATTTACACAAATCTGCATTCCAAATACTGCTCTTCGGCTCCTTTTCCTAACGACAGAAAATGTCAGCAGCAAACCCAAATTTACCCCTCTAATAGCTTTCTCAAGATTTCAGGAAAAACAAACAAAAACAAAAAACCAATCTGTGATACAGTAATATGAGTGTTTAAACACATTTTTCAATTTAGACGCAATATAATTTTATGTTAATAACCCAGAAAGTTTTGCCAATTCCAGATGTAATCCTGACAGTAGCAGAGAAAGCTGGGAATGAGCATGTCCCATAGCTTCAGGGCAGCCCCAGGATTGTGCCCAGAGCTGGTGTTTTGCCTCAATCCAAGTGTCCCTTGTCCAACCTTCTACTCAGCTTGGGACACTCAACATCATATTTCCATATACAATGTGCCAGCCTGGATTTCCTCGACCCTGTGCACAGGGAAACTAACATGAAGCACATGGTTCCCCTGCAAGTTTTTAAAATGCTTCGGATGCAATGAGAGAAACCTGAAAAAAGATGACTGGTCTGCCTTATCTTTTCCCCCTAATTACCACCTGCCTCTTTTTTCACCTGATTTGCTGAGATTAAAACCCATCTCCCACCCAGATATCCCAACCTGTGTTTCTGAAATTATTATAAACTGGTGACCTTTCTCTACCCATAAAGCCCCACGTCAACATGCTGGCCCCCACTGATGTCAGGGGGGCAATAATAGCTCTTTCATTTCCATAAAATCAGCATTTTCCTGCCAGAGTTCCGATTTCTCCTCTGAGTACTCTGCCTCTGTCCCCCCGAGGGCTGCCAGCAATCTCTCCAGCACTTGCTTCTCCTCCTCGACTGCAAGCCCGCCGCAGGCTTCGGCACTGCTTGGGATAATCTACCTGCTTAAGATTCAGCTAACTTCTAAATAAAAAGAGTAGGGAAAGGTCAGATCTGCCCTAGGTTGTGCTCGTAGAGTCTGCCACATCAGGTGGGAAGGAGCAGGCGCTGGTGCTCCTCCTGCTCCCCCAGCTCTGCTGCTTGTCTTCTCATCTGCTCGCCTGACCTTCTCCTTGGAAAGCTCTTTCACACAGTGTCTCCCCCTGGGGCAGCTCTCCCTGAGACAGTGCCGAGGGGAAGCCCCAAACCTGTGCCAGCCCCTGTTCCCTTGTGGTCCCGTTGGCTGCCCCGGGGCTCTCCGCGTGCTGCCGAGCTGCTGCCGGGGCTTTTATCTGCTCTCAGCAGCTGCCTTTGGGATTCCTCCCAAAGCTGCTCTGAAGCAAAAAAGTGGCCCCAGACGTGGCAATGAAATGGGCATAAACCCTGGCAAAGAGTGCCTGTTGACTGGAGCCTGGCAGAGCCCTTAGCAGTGGGGCCAAAAGCTGCTGGGCTGACGGGCACAGGAGAAATCTCTAAGGTGCTGGAGGTTTCACCCCTCTAAGGTTAGGGTCGCAGACAGGAAAGCCATGCACCAGCCTGCATGTGGGGACTCCTGCTCACTCAGTCCCTGCCATCACGGAAAGAAAGGAGATAAAGTAGAACAAAACCAGTTTCTGCTGCCTTCTCTCAGAAATGCAGCATGCTGGGCTCTCCTAAAATGGGTTTTACTGGACTTGTTACCTCTGGGGACTGCTTGAACAAAAACATCTGAGCCTCAGACTATGCAAGCCCTTCCTTTCCTATCTGCCACAGAGCTCAATGAACAAATGATCCTTCCTAGCATTAACCAAGTTAACCAAGATTCCCCAGCTGCATTGAACAGGTGACACTCTATGACCTGCACAGTCCAAAGGGGAATAAAACCAGAACTTAAGTTCTGGGGTTCTTTCCCTTCACACCCATTGACTCCTGTCCCCTCCTTCCCCATTCACTCCATCCCACCACTGATGCACTGATTTTTGTTTAATGTGTGGGGTATAAATGCTTTGTCCTTGAGCTACACTCACAGCTAGAGGAGGCAGAGCTCTGGGAATCACACTATATGGCTTACACTGGCAGAGTATGGTTGTGTCAGTAAAAATGAAATTTCTTCTGCATTTGGAAAAGCTGTACATCATAAAATGCCAGGAAGAAGAGGCATTAAGAGCAGAGCCCCACAGAAAACCAAAATCACTGGAAGACATTTTCCTAGTTTGGAAGAGACACAAGGATGCCATCAGGAAACATGCAAAGTGTACTGAGTATGGGCTGTGTAACTGCTTTCAGAGATAACATGCAAGACAGGTCTAGAAAGGGCTATAGGTGTCTGGCATTTATTGTCTCCCAACAGAAAGGGGACAAATGACAAGTTATTCATCCCCCTGCTCCTTCTGGAGTATTTCTACATCTTTGAGTTTTACAAATTTACGCAAGGAAAATATCAACGCCAGGAGTTTGAAGATTCTCCCAGGGTTTCATCGACCGATATGGATTAAGACAAAAATATCACATCAAAGCCACGATGCCCCACAACTGCTGCAGAAGCAAAGACCGTGATCTCCACGTTGCAACTCAAACTTTTAGAGGCTCAGTACTCAAGACAGGGCTTGGGCTTTGCAAGTCAGCAACCCTCAGTAACAGGACACCTGGTAGGATGGCTTCAAACTCACCTCTCTGTCGAGTCCAGCAGCCACAGTGACAATGTCTCCCGTCTCGCTGTTAATGGTAAACATGTTTTGTGATGGGCTCTGTGGGGTCTGAGTCACGATCCGGTACCTCACCATCCCGTTCGCGGTAGTAGCGTCGTCTGCGTCATTTGCCGTCACCGTCATCACGTAGGTACCTTGGAACAAGAACAGATGAATTATCAGGACCATCTCACTGCAGAGCAGATTGCAGTCCCATTGACTCGGGGTCATGCATTTTGCTCAGAAATTCTATGCAACAGACATCCCATTTCAATCCAGCCAGCTGGGCAAGGATTATGGAAATAGCAACACTGCTGAGACTAGATGATCTGGAAGGATACTGATTACACATAACTGGTAGATAGTGAGAAGTCATATGAGGGTATCTATGATTAAATTCTAATTCTTTCAGTGATTGTAAGTTTTAGGGTAGCATTTTTTGCCCTGCAATTTCACAGATTCTCAAAGGGGATTTTTTTTCCCCATCCAATCACTGCATCCACATGCATTCAGAAGTAGCATTTAGGAGTAGAAAGCCCATCAGACTTCTCAGCAGCTTCAGAAGGACACCATCAACATGCCCATACCTAGTGCAAGAAGCAACTGCCTGCTGCCTCTAGTTCTTGGAGAAACATCCACCTTTCTAGCCCCTCCTGGAGAAAAAAATCCATTTCTGCAGAGCAAATGGAACAGCTGCTGCCCAGCAGGACAGAAAAATCAATGATTTGGTATGTGTGGCCAGTGATGTATTGAATTGTTGGTTTGTTTCTTGCTAATCACCAATGTCTTCATTTGCCTTGCAAAAAACAATCTCTACTTTCTCGATACTGTTGGGAGTGCACTGATGCACTGACAGACTCATTAGCACTGGAGTTTGGCAGCAGGGTGTTTTGCTAAAGTGGGAAATTATCATTATGAGGGTAAAAGATGTTACTTGATTGGATGGACTCCTGCAGCTGCATGGTCCTGTGACCCCCCAGAGCTTGTAGGGCCCAGCTTTATGCTTGTTATATTGGTAGGAGAGAATGACTAGAAGGGCAGGCACACACTGCTCATGAAAAGCAATCTGCAACAGCAGATGAATCTAATGATACGAGACCTGAAAGGAGGAGTGGGGGGCAAAGAGAGACAGTGAAACCAGACAGACCCTCGTTTAGTGACCACAAAACCCAACAGCATCAATGGAAAGATGGAAGGTGCCACTCAAACACTGCTCATTTGGGAAGGCTGAACAGACGGACCAACTTCTGAGCCTTCTGTGCTGGAGAGATGCAAAGTGGTCCCAATGAGAACCTGAGCTGATTCGAGATGGAGCCAAACATTGCTTTACAAGAAGAGCTGAGTTTGTTCTGCTCGCTTGGTTAGGTGTGAGCCCTGGCAAGCTCGAGGACGTGTGGCTCCATCCCCATCAGGACATGTCTCCTCTCCTACGCCCGATCCCCAGCTTGGTCACAAAGCTACCAAGCTCCCAGTTCAGGGAAAGTGGAAAGCTTGAGAGCTTGCATCTGTTTGCAAAGGACTTTAAAGATATCCCACTCTCTAAATGGGCAGATGTAGCAATGGCTGCAGCATGCCCAAATTTTGCACTTTAGCCAAGTGTCTTTAAGCCACTTAGCACACAGGAAATCCCCCCAGTACCCTCCCCAGCTTTGGGAAACCAATGTTTCTCTGTACTAGCAAGAAAAGGCCTCAGAATTTTGTATTTTTGCACTGTATGCAGTGCTTTGCTGATCTCCTTCCATCTGCCTCAGTCTCTTTTTGTTCTCAGTGGTGATACATATATTCCTGTGAGTTTTCTTAGTTCAATAAGAATTATAGATTAAAAAATAAACGAATGTGTAAAGCAAATCCTAATGATGAATACATCCCTGTCTTTCTGCAATAATCCTGATTCTCATTTGTGAAATGAAAACAAACTATTCAACAACTTTAACACTTTTTTGATCAATAAACTTCAGGAGAGGGAAGGAACACTGAATTGAAACAAGGCTGTGCAAGCAACAAATTTTCTCTCTTTTCTCTTCAACCATTCGTTTTTTGCTCTTTTGCAAAACCAGTTATCATGAGACAACTGATACAAATAATGAAGCCAGCCCTCAGATAACTACAGGGGAAAAAGTACAGAAGAAATTTAAATAGGAAATATGCTGAATGAGATGTTTGATTTGGAATTTATGTTATCTTAATGCATTCAATACTGAAAATATCTCTGAACAGAATGTCAAATCCTGGGGCTAATGAAAACAGAAGCGGAAGAGGAAAACAGAATCTATTTTAGGACATATGCAGTTTTAGGACACATTCCAAAAAACAGGTGGTATTTTGTGATGCACTTCCAGCACAAGAACAGCTCTGAAAATTGCTGTTACTACCAGGTTCAGATAATGGCACCCACAGCTGTGGTCCCTCCTCATTTGGGATCTCTTGGACTGCACTGTAGATTCCAAAATGAACCAGGATGTGTGTGATGTGGTGGGTTCCCAACCTGCAGGGGAACATGACAGGCTGCAGCCGTGGTGGGAGGGGGTGAGGGACAGCAGCTATACTGTGGATGGAGAGTACAGTAGGCCTCCTTCACTCTTTCCCTGACCTTTCTGCTTCTTTCCTGCAGTGCAGCATTGGACTGAGCACATCTGCTCTAGAAAAAAGGACTATTTCAAAAGCATTTGACCTACATCCCCATAAAGGGAGATGGGACTGGACAAATGTCTCTAAAGTCATGAACTGAGCACCAGGGAGCTGTATTTCAAGAGGCAATCTGCTCCCTATCTCCTATCTTTAATTTCGATTATGAAACCCAACCACAGAGAAAACAGAGAGGAACTTGGCATTAATTACTATCCTGTAACTTAATAAAACGCCCTCTGCACAGGGTCCTGTGTGGCTGCAGCACTCGGCAGTGCCTGATGGAATTGCATCAACCACTTCCTTCCTGGCTCTCCCTGGGGCTGACCTCTCCCTGTCTGACCACAGTCTGCTGTAAACTGGCTGCAAATTACTTCTTCCTCTCTGCAGTCTGGATGGTGTCTGATATCTCTTCTCCCTTTCCTGTCTACACACTTCTCCCATCTGGCAGTGTTGTCCCAGGAGGGCGACAGCATCTCCTGTTACTCGTGCTGAAGGCACCTCTCCTAAGGAACACTCACTTCTGGGAGATCAGCGGGTGTAACCTACATCACCATCTACATTCCACTTGGTTGTCTTTACATTTAGCCTGTTTTTAAGCAAGAAATATATTCTAGATACCTGTGTGCTGCAGTGAATGACATAAACATATATTTGCACACAAGAGTACTCAACAGAGCAATGTGGATATATGCTGCTCCAGTGTCTAACATCTTCTGGGTGCTATATAAACTCTTTCCCTATACTAAGATGGTTGGTGATGATTTACCTGCAATAAAAGTAAATAATGTCATGCTTCTATGTCCTTTGCATGGAGATACATCTTCACATACTTTATATTAAATAAAGGAAATATATCCCCATATCCAGCCCCTAACACTACACAAATTAAGCAAATATACACTGGCAGAGTGAGTGCACAGCTCTAACAAGCTTGAGGATTGAAGCTGGTATTGTTTGGGGTTAAGTGACAAAGCACAGACTCCCTAGTGTTGCCCACAGGATGTGTGTATGCATTTTGTGGAAATCAAAGTATTAAACACACCATCCTTACATCCCTGTATCTACCCAAACAGAGACTAGAAGCAGTTATTACAGACCAGAAACAATGAGAAACTCCTCCAACTCACAGTTAAGACCCTCACACTGTACTCTGCCATTTTCGTGTCAGACCCTGGCAGTGGTGATGAAGCTCCAAGTGTAAGAGTAAACAGGGAAAGAGGGACTTTACACTTTCAGTGTCTGAGAGAGGAATCACCTTCATTTTTCTGCTCTGCAGGGCTTGCAGAGCATCAGCATCAAAATGAATGCATCAGGTGTCAAAACCTGGGCCCAGTCTGTGCAGTGATTCACAGAACAAATACTCAGCCCAGACGGTCTCTGATGTAACTGCATTAAACTACACACCTGGCCTAACTCAGGTGCATAACCTGTTGAAAGAAAACCATTTCTCATCAAATAAGGCACATGGTATGTTAAATAAAACACCTAACCTACTACATCATGTCAATATTAAATCAAATTTGTTGCATGTTGAACAGCTCTTCCGAGCAGCAGATTGAATTACCATGCACAGCTAGTGATGACAAGATTACTGTGCATTAGCTTTCATTAACTAATGTGCTGAGTTCATATATCACCTGAGTTAAAATTAATGGATGGCATGACGAAGACCTATCAATGAAAGGCAAGACCTCAAGAATCTGTACCTTCACAATGCATTCCCTTTGATTTCCCAGAGACCACAATTTCCTAGATGTTATTTTGTCAAATGAGATACTTTTGTTTCTAACCAGAGACAAGACACATGAGAGAAATGCTTGAAAGCACCCCTTATGGAAAATATTCCCGTTAGATTAATTAAGGTTTCTACAGGCAAAATAATGCCTTACAGAATCTGAGGGGATGGAAGCAAAGGGAGATAATTTATACCTGTATATTCAGTTTTGTTTATCAACTTTAAAATGAACTGCATCTCCTGGTAAAAGACTGCAAAGAGATTTTGTTAGGTTCACAATATCTCATTTGATCTGTACGTGTTAAGTAAAAAGAGAAGCAGAACAAGGAAGATAACTGCCCTGAGTATGTGTAAGCAGATAAGCACACAGCTGTAAACAAATGCCCCCCCGAAATTGCTCTGGAATCTGAGAATCTGCTCAATTCTTTCCAGCTCAGACAGTCCCAAAGCATGCCAAAGACTGATAATTCACATCACGTTGTCTGCAATCTCTGCTGTGCCATCTATGCAACTTCATTTCTCCATAAAGATGGAACTTTCATGGTTTTAAGGCATACAAACAATATCTTGGCATAGTTGTGCTCCCGAAGTCTTTGTTACAATTGCTTTATAATTGCCATTTTTCTAAGCTGGTTTGATATCCATTAGTTAGATTTAATGCATGTTAAAAGAAAGAGCTAATGGGCACTTATCAGGAATCCAAATAAAAAAATAAAATACAAACCTCTTTCACTTTGCCCTTAATACCACGTTGCTGTAAAATCACATAATCCTCTCTGTCTACTCCTATGA